AAGGCGGCGAGGAGGCAATTTTGGGCCCGTGGGGCCCGTTCTCTTCTTCCCTCTTCGACTAGCGCTGACTCTCTCTCCGGCGATGAAACACGGGCTCGAAAATTTTCACCCGAGCCACCCATCTTTTCGTTCTCTTTTTTTTCTCTCTCTCTCTCTCTTTCTCATTCACTCCCTCTTCCTCGTTCGAACGGAGTCGAGCTCCTCGGGCGCGCACCACACGACTCATTCGGGCAAGGGTTTTGTGTATCGCAACGGGTCCGGGTAATATCTCGTTTAGAAAGATTACAGGTTCGAGAAGAGGCTGCCAATGTATAAAACAAACATCGTTAAGGCAGCCCTATACTTAAGATCCCCTTCCCCACACTCGTTTCCGGCCCCACCCCGCGCACCCTCTCTGACATTACATGCTCGCTATTATATGCACATCTACGATACTCTTGCGTCTCATTATCGATACGGGTGTACGTATTATATACGTGCAAGATTGTGTGTCGCAGAAAGTGTCTCGAAAAAAAAAACGGTAGCGGATATAAATTCGCAGTATCGTAAAGTTATGATAAATAACAGTTTTTTAACAAATCGTGTTCGATAATATTAATTTAATATAAAAAAGTTGGTTAAATGTCAAAACTCGTTGCTATATTTTTCCAATCTTTCCAGACATCCTATGCAAACATAACCACATGGCGATTTTCATTCATTATATTTAACACAAAAAAAACGTTCGATAATATTAATTTAACATAAAAAAAACTTGGTTAAATGTCAAAATTCTTTGCTACATTTTCCCAATCTTTCTAGATCATCCTATGTGCAAATATACATACACGGAGAGAATTGTCTCTTACAATAAAATTTACTCTGAAAATCATGGTAATCGTGGGACAATACGATATTGGAAGAATTTTATAAAAGTTTCTCTGATTAATATCTACCACAATAAAAAAATTAATATATACATAGTAAATTTTACTATACGTACATAGTAAAATTAATCAAATATATTTTATATCTTATTGTGATAGATATTAATATTTATTATTGTGGTAAACATTAATCAGAGAAACTGAAAATTCTTCCAATATCATATTGTCCCATCACTATGATTTTCAAGGTAAATTTTAAGAGAAAATTCTCTCTGTGTACGCCACATGGCTGCGGGCGAGATTGTCGAGGGTGAGAACGGGAGAGACGTCCAGAGTGGATCACGCACGGCTTTGCGTGTGGTGGCGCAAACGCGCGTCAAACGCGAATATCCCGCGCGTATTGAGACGTAGACCACCGGACGGGGTTCGACGGCGGGGTCCGATGGATGGGCCCGAGGGGCCCTACGGCATAATTTCCACGCGTATAATTATCGGTGATCGGGGCCGTTACCAGGGGCTCGGCTCGGCTCAGCTCGGCTCGGCTCGGTGTTTCGCTGAAAGCCGATCGCGAGCGGGCGGATATTACCGACTAAAACGCTGGGGGACGGGAGAGAGACAGATCGGTTGGACATGACGGTTATTATTTAGCGATGAAGATTGATTTAGAGCGCGGCCAGTTTTCGAGATTGCGATCGATCGGCCGCGGGTACGCTTCGTGATTTCAGAGATCGATCGGACACAGATTCTGATAAGAACAACGCTGGTCTTTCGTTGACGACTTTAGGGATTCGTGCTTTTATTATTAGCTATTCATTATCGTATATTAATGTGCTTAGGTTTGCTTTTTTAGGTTTTTGTTATTTCCATATTTCAAAAGGACCCCATAAATTACCATAAGATTTTAGCTTTCGGTGGAATTGGCTGTTTTTTTTAAATATGTTGAGCTTATGTTCTGCTGAACAAATGATGCAATGGCCTCAAAGTTAAATATTGAATAATTTCTAAATTATATCAGTTAAAAACAACTCGTAGAGCCCAAGTTTTTCGTATTTGACTGCCTGTAAATCAGTAACATTGTATTACATGTTCAGCAAATCGTAAGCTACAACATGTAAGAAAACCAGCTAATCTTATCAAGATTCAATTTTATATGATTAGTATGGGTTTTGGAACCTACATACAATCCTAGATGAAATTGAATCTCGGTAAAATCAGTTGATTTTCTCCCATGTTGTAACTTATGATTTGCTGAATAAAAAATATAATGGCTAAATAATGATTACTGATTTACAACCAAACACGAAAAATTAGGATGTTGCGAATTGTTTGAACATATAAAAAAAAGCCAAAATCCTACGTATTTGGTGCGGGGTCCTTAATAAATGTTCCTGAAATTTTATCTCAAAAACGATAATTTATCTTTTAAATATGTGAAAATGATATTCGACTGAATTATAACTTTCTTTGTCAAATTTGAACCTTTGAAAAAATAAATACATATCTTGGTAAATTAGCGTAGTAGCGCTATAAATGCTAATGTTCTTCGTAAAAAAGTTCACGCATAGCGGTTTATTATTGCATTTGAAGTCAGAAACTTACTTTGAATAAATTTCAAATGTAGAATAGCCTGTCACGTACAAGAAAAAAAGATAATTATTACAGCTCGATAACGTTCGATGCTTATGATGTGTGTCAGTACGCGGTAATGAATTAATCATATTGTCGGCACTTTTCAATCAATCGTATGCGTTCGTATATAGTATATTCAACTTACTCGATGCTACAAATTGAGCCGCTAAATATCCTGATCGATTATTTGTCATTCGCTAAAAGGCAGCGTGTATATTTTTTCAAAGACGCTGTCGAGAGATCGCGAGATTATATGCGATAAGCGCTACTTGTTCTATTGTAAGCTGTCTTGTTACATTAATAAAGCCACCGATAACTTAACTAACAATAGAGACTGCGCGTAGACATAGAATAACCGATAATATATATATATATATATCTCGCTTCAACTTCTTTTTGCAAGATCTCTACCCTTATCGCGTAACGTCCAATTGAATCTTTTGATAAAGAAAGCTTGCGCGTTAGTTTTATATATAAGAATAATAATACTAATTGGAACGCATTAATAAATATCGATTCTCGCGGCCCAATAATCTCTTAAAGAAAGAAAATCTTTACGTTTCCCCTCGTCGCGGCTTTAATGACGCAAGTTGAAAGAGCAAACGCGAGAAAAGCGTATTAATCGAAGATCGACGGCAAAGAGAGCCAGAGAAAGATTTAATCCGGCCGGATATTTCACGCATACACGCTAGTCAAGGGAGACGTATAGCCAGCCGGTTCACGTCGATACAAAGCGTAAATGCACGTACGCGCACGCACACACACGTGCACGCGAACGCGCGCTTTAGCACCTGTATATATCGCACATGAAATATGCAAGCGTATATGCTCACCCTTTCGTCGCGGATACGCGCGTGCTCTCTATTCTCAACTATTATAGTTTGCCGTAGTAGTAGTCTCTCCATTGAAACCCGATATACTTTGTCCGCTCGGCCTATCATCGCGGAAGAACCCGCGTACTTTTTTAATTCTCTCTCTCTCTCTCTCGCGTGCAATACGACGCGTATCCACTATCCGAGCGATCATGACTTCGCGGAATAAGGTGCGGCGATAGATAAGATTGCGTTTCGAAGAAAGGTGAAAAGGGATGGAAAAAAGAAGGGATAAGAAGGATAAGAAAGAGTAATCGCGAGGGAGGGGAGCGAGAGAGAAGTTTCAATTGCTCGAGGGATCTCCGACGACTCTGTAGTGATATCTTTTTTTACGACGGCAGTGCGCTACACGTCATCGGGGAAGTGCCGCGCGATACTCTCTGCCCCTCTTTGACGTACCGTCTCGCTCGCTCGCTCTCTGCTCTGCCGCGCGCATGCACGGGGATCGCGGACACGCGTGCCCGATACACGAGCGCAATAACGAAAAGTAAAAGTTTCGTCCGCGAGAGAGTACGCGGAAAAAAATTGCTCGCAAGAGCAGCGCGCGACGCTTTCTTCTCGCTGGATGGGAATAATGATATCGATATATGGACGTTTCTTCCTCTTGTAACCAGGTACAATTATAGGACAAACGGAATTTTTCGTTTGAGATATGTATATCGATTTTAAGTCGCTCAATATGTCATATATAAATGGAGGGATTAATGAAAATTTATCTCAATTGAGAATATCTATGTTTGTAATTTGGAGTACCGAGAAAGGATTAAAAACTCTTTGCATTGTGCGTCTAATGAATGTTATATCCGATAAGTTTAATTTTGCTTCGAGGCAACCCGCATGACATTTTTGTTCTCATGTTCATTTCGACTATTATATTCGCTCAAGAGAATTCTCACAGGCATGGCTTTAATTCTCGACATAAGGTTCTGCCCTACGTAAATCTAAACTACATATGCAAAACTAAACAAAGTTTCACTTTAATGTATTATAAAATTATATGGTGTTATATATTTTTTCAACTAATATTTGTTCTGTTAGTACTTTCAAGCATAAAGTTAAGAGAAATCTCTCATTTATTTAGCTTCCTTAAACAAAGGATTTCATTTTTTTTTTCCTACTACAAAAGATTTTTCAGAGCGTAAAATAAAATTTTGTAAGAAAAATGACCGATAAAGACGTGAGAAATCATTATGCGCGCGTCCTAGTTACATATTCTAACGCCTCTAGCAATTGATAGTAAAATTGATACTAAAAATAAGTCTCCTCATATCGTTGGAAAAAAATGGTGCGAATTTTTACAAATTGGCAATTTAATACTAATTAACATAAACACGACTCATACGTTGCAGCATGCTATGTTTATATTCATGCCGATGCGTTCTGCAACTAAATCGCGAATTTTCGATAACGTGGCCGAGGCACATCAGTATATGTAGGAAACTTCAAAGTCCAAAGCTTCGACCTCGCTCGAGCGTCTGTTAGATGTTACACATTTACATTATACGCGCGTACGATGAAACTTGGTACAACTGGCATCCTGATTGCTCTCAGGACGCCCCGAAACGATCGTTCAATTAGCGACAAAGGATCGTAATCATGGTAATGATGCGCTGGCAACGATGTTGACACTTACCGGCCGCTCTTCGTAATGACCATTTCCGTTCCGAGTTTGTGGAATTTCTCCCAGAGCTCCTTGCCCTCGAGCGTGACTTTGGGATCGTCAACGACGCCGTCCTCCTCCGGATGATGAGGCGGGACGAGGGGATGATGCGGCGCCGTTAGGGGATGATGCGTCGCCAGAGGATGCGGCGACGTATGGAGCATCCCCGGCGGCAGCGGCGGCCTCAGGGGCCTCATCGCAGGACCGCCGGGACCCTGATGATGATGATGTAACGCCGCTGCGGCCGCCGCAAGGACGGCGGCCTCTTCCGGCGTGTGCGGACCCAGGCCTAGGCCTGAAATTGTCAAATGTCAAATGTTTTCAGAATTTGTTTAAAAACGTCGCAAACTGTATATTCTTTAAAAAAATATATATATATATATATATTATTGCACAGAGAGAATTTTCTTCTGGAATTTATTTAGAATTCTAGAAGAGTTTCTCGAATTAATATTTTTACCATAATAAAAAGTATTAACATCTACCACAAAATATGTTCGATTAATTTTACTATATACATAGTGTAAATATTAATCAGAGAAGCTCTTATAAAATTTGTTCAATATCATATATTGTCCCACGATTACCATGATTTGTCGCTTAAATTCTAAGAGAAAATTCTTTCCGCGTAAAAGATGGGAAGATTACGTATGAAAAATTAATGAAAGCGTTCGACAACTATATAATACTATACTTTTCGAGAGGATTAATTTAAACCATCGCGATATCGCGGGACCATATAATCACGGTAATCGGAAATTCGGTATCAGTTCGCTCACGATGGGCAACATCTGGTTCATCGCGGCTATTTCATGTAAACGCAAGATGCGAGCTGCAATAATGATCCGACGATCTACAGTGCAAGCCGAAGATCAGCGACGGATAACAAGTAAAAGACAGCTGCCTAAAGTTTCGCGAGGGTGAATCACCTGGCAACTCGCAACTCGGTAGCAACCCCCGAAGGAAAGTTGCGGATTCTTCTCCACGCCTCCCCCTTGACGCGACGGCCACCTTCTCTCTTTACCTGACCCTACTTCGAGTTAGGAACTTTATCGTCTTCCTCTTCTCCTTAAGCTGTCGCAAAGACTTAAGAAGGGCATCTTGAGCAAAACCGCGAACGATCTCGCAAGTGGTTATATCTCTTCAGCCGGAGAGATGTGTCATTAAAAATCAACCTGAGCCATCAGCAGGTCAACAGAACACTTTTTTACTTGGCGATTTAATTTATTATATTATCTCCTTCGACAATCGATCGTTGCGCATCGCGACTTCACAAATCCGACGATAAAGATCTTCTATCGTGTGGATAGAACGAAAGAGGATTTTTACTATATTCAGAATTTAACTATATATATGAATAAGTGTATAATCGTGTTTAGTCGCCAGTTATTTTGTTTATCTTGTTAGTTTAATCGAGACTAAACTGCAAAAGAAGAAAAAAAACGCGCAGAAGACAATTTTAAATCATTCATAATTAAGCGAGTGCATTATCGCGAGTGTATTTGCAAAACGATGATTTCCCGGAAATATGACGTGACGATACGATCGCACAAATATCAACAGTTTTTCATTTTGCACGTTTCGTGTTAAAGAGTGTAACTTACATGTATGTTGACAACGGAATTGCATTAGTCCGTTTAAATAATATCATACCGTTCGCTATATAATGTCAAGTTTGTGCGAATGATTAATGTAAATCACCGTCTATAAATGTTATGAGTAATGATGCATTTAATAGTTAACGACACAGATACGGCTCCCGGTATTTTCCTTTCCTTTTCGATCAATTACCATCTCTGTAAACGGAGGAAAAAATGGAAAACCTGTTATACACACCGCGTAATGACTTTATGATTGTTGCCGCGCGGCAAATCTCTGTGTAAGTCAATTCTTATCTCGATAACTGTTATCTTTACAGATTATTTTTTTTTTTTTTAATGTTATTCCTTTTTGCATGCATTAATTATTCCGTTGTCAGATGCATAAAGGAAAATATAATCGCCACTTTTCTCTTGTACTGTAATTTTTTTATCGTATTAGTTTTCTCAATGAAACTTCACGTCAGTTAAACTAATTCTTTATGTGCAACACTAGCAATTTTGATTTATCTTCGCTACCTAGCAATTTGATTTATCTTTAGAATTAATATGTAAAATGGATTTATCACGCGATGCTGTCTTATACTTTCAAAACGATTGATAATAATTATTATAATTGTGCGCGCCTATAGCTGCCCGGCATATGTTAAGTATAACATAATTAATATTTATTTGCTTTATTTAAAGTGTTTGCAGAAGTGAGATATTTTTAGCATACAAAGAAATTGTCGGAAAAAAATATAGAAGTATACGTTTCAAAAATAAAAGCTCGCGTTTTTAACGTTTCAATTATTTTGTTATATTATTACCCGTTCGTTTCATATAGGTTTTTTTAAGCGACAATGCACACTCGCAGTAACTCACACTCATAAAGAAATTCGTTTTTCGCATTTGTTTATGTAAAGAGAGCTGTAGAGTCGCGCTAACAAATTTTAGCCGGACGATCATATATAATAGGCAAAAACAAAATGTATTATATAACATTTTTATGAATCGCCCTCACGACGGCGTAACATATATCTCGAATTACACTCGTAACAATGATATACGCGCGCGCGCGTTAAACATGCATTATTTTTTGCGGCGCAATAAAACTGCAAAAACGCAATAACAATATACAGCTCCGGTTACGGTATAAAAATCCGTATTTTGACGTTTCTCGTCTATATTGATATCACAGAACGATGACATTGAAGAGATCTGCAAATCTGTCACACGCATCCGCGTTTTGACTAAAATTAAATTATAATCACGAGACGTGCGCATATATGTATGTAAGAGAGATGAATAATTACGTGAAGCATGGATGGAGAAATCTGTTTCCCCGTGCATTCGTATTTGTTGTTTGCATTAAACGTAATGTATATTTGCGTTTGTGTAAAGACAGTGATGTGGATATAATACTAGAGTAAAGCTATGAGTACTAAGTCGATAATAATATACCCCGCGTGCTCTTATAACAGATTTGCGAGAGACCGCTTATTTCAGACGCGATTTCTTATCGCGCGCTTTTTTTTTTTTTTTTTTGACATTATTTAAAATATTTCAAACCTTCGTTTTGCCATTGTCTCGAGATATATCATGCAACACGGTAGCTTCTCGCGATACGATTACGAGTACTACAATATGCATATTTCATATTTTCGTTATAGATGAAAAAAGCGATGGCGCGAAATATCGATGGGTTTTTTACATATTTTTACGCATTAATGCATTCACGAAATTGCTAGATTCGCCAAAAAATTTACTGTATTATCGAACAAAAAAAAACGCTATCAAACTACTGTGTGACGTTTGGTATTTTGTTCATTTATATCAAACACACACGCGAGTCCCGGAATCCCGTCCGACGCGACCGAATCGAATTTTATCGGACACTTATACGCAGCGTATAGGTACTTGACGTATGTGTATTTCACAATTTTCCACATTCGGAAATGTCCGGCCTCAATATTATTTAACCGCTGCATTTTTTTAACGCGTTATATTTCTCGCGTGAATATATGTATAGTATACAGCAAAAAAAAAATTATCCGTCAAACTGAACGGAATATAAAACGGTTGTTTACAATAATGAACGCGATATCGTGAAACGTAAAAAAAAATAAGTATCCGACAATATTATTTTAGATTAGTTACATATTAGATTGCCCGTTACGCGCTGTTTACATAACGGTTTGTTTCTTATCAAAATGGATGAAGCTTTATTATGACGTAAGGGTTCCTGTCGAGATGGCGGCGTGGATTAAGTCGTCTTTTCTCTTCATTCAATTTCCATCCTCTTTTTTTTTACCGATTTTTGTGTCGCTCCTCGACCGCGTCGAATTGCATATTCATTATATTGCTTCCGCAGAGCGTAACATTCTTCCCCGCGCTGAATTTTCGTCAAACTCCATTTTTATTTTAATAAGAAGCGGAAACATTAATTAGCCCAAAGTGCGCAACCTTGGGATACGCATCTGACTTGCGACATACTTGAAGAATTACTTATTATGCTTGGTAAAAAAGTTAGGACTACGCGGCTACCTGGAAGGAGCTGCTTATTTGGATTTTCTACTCTTTAGAAAGTCCGGATTATCCGAATTTATTCTTTAGCCCGACCTCTCGAAACAATCCCGCAGTGCGTTGCAGCTACGTGATTTTTAGCTTATTAATTATGCGCGACGCAGAACTTTGATCGCAAAGCGCTTTGTTGCGCGTTACAAATACACGGCGGCGAATTTAATAACCCGCTGCAACGATTGCAAGGACCGTTATCGCGCAGCAAAAATACATTGCTTCATTGCCACCAATTTATCAACGATTGCAGAGCCTATATGCATTCTGTCTTTCTCGCTCTCTCTTTCTTTGTTGCAGAAATAATACATTATTGAAAATTATAAACAAACAACGGTGTATAACTCCAATAAAGTGCGCGGAACACGGATTTTCGATTTATCGAGCGCGATTTCGCGCCGCATAATACCTTAATACAATTGCTAACAGCAAAGACACAACAATGCCGCACATTTAATCGCGTTTAACGATCGCGTTCAAATTTCCATCGTCCTCTATGATTTTGCTGTGAATACACACACACACACGCACGCACACAAATAATTTTTTTACACTTGACTGAAATGTATATAGACAGATCACAAACTACTCTCGCAGCTGTCTGCGCATGAAATTATTTTCTAGCAAAGGGGAAGCTAAAATTAATTTAGACGCAGACCGACTCGTTCGATTTCGATTCCTCATTTTTAAGATCCGATCTAAAGTCGATCGAGTAGATCGATAAGGCATTTCCACTTCACGTGTAAATTATCGCCGACAGACACAAGACGCTCGAATCCGCTCTTTACGTTTCTCTCACTCCGGTTTTTCTCTATTCCTCGCTAAGTTACACGGATTACGCGCGCACGTACACGTGACTACACGTTCCGAATTTCAAATGCAAGGAACGTTGGGCATGCCCTTGGCAAGATTAATCACCACTATCTTATGGTCAGTTGGCCGCGAGCCCGACCAGAAAAGAGGAAAAGGACTAGCCGCGTCCTGTCAAAAAATGACGGCGAAGAGGAACAATAACAATGACAGATATCTCTCTCGTCTCGGGTTTGCAAGGTCCAAGGATCGCGATAAACCTTGCGAGAATATCGCCGACGCAAATCATTCGCGGTATCATCATCGCGTCGTGACTGCAAATATATAAAGTTGGAAACACAAAACATTATATATCTCTCTTTTTTTAATTTTAACCATGCTTGTTAATCGAAGCATGTTCAAACACGTATTTCGCAAAATTAGAGGGAAAATATTTATAAAACATAACCCATTTATATGTTTCAATTTAACAATAAATGTTTTTTATATTAGCTGCGTTTGCCCGCGGAGGAAACTAAATCGTCTTAGCGAGGTATATACCGCCGTCGTGTGTCTGTCGACGTCGGGAATTAATTCATCATTTAGCCTAACGAAGGGAATAACTAGTTGTAGCGGATGAGGTGGACGCGCGTAATAATGCGATGTCAGATAAGACGACGAGCGATGAGCGCGTTGTCGGCTCTGAAAATCGTTCTTCTTCTTCTTCTTCTTCTTCTTTCTTTTTTTTCCACGCACCTGGCACGACATTTGCACAGACGGCACATCGCGCATCCCCGACTATTATCGCTGCCACAAAGTAAAACGCGAATGATACCTTTCGCGACAAGTTTCTTTTTTCTTTTTTTTTTAATTCCGCGTCATGTTACTTTATGTACAGAGAGCGAAATCGAAAGCTTGAAATTTTTTCCTCGTATACCGAGATAATTCCGGAAAGTTATCGAAGTCTCAACTTTTAACCCGCGTATTTATCGCGCGTCGCCTTTTTCCGAATTATCCTGCACACTTGTATTTATGCACGACGATATATTCGTCGATAGAAAAAAAACGAGACAGTGCATTTTCTCTCTGAAAATAATGTCGAGGAACCGGAATTCGTTCCACGTTCACCGCTGCTCATTTAATGTCCGAGATATGCCAGATCGATTACATTATCGGTGCCTAAGTCATAATGTATCGCTGACATATACCGAGTGCATTTTTCTCCCAGCCGCTTTAGACTCGCGCCGCATTCCCGATGTTATCGTCGTATTCGTTCGCGCTATTGTGATCATTGATCGGGTATACGATCCCTAATATTTTTTTCACGTCAGTTCGCGGATATGGACACGATTCTCGCGAGAGCGAGAAAATCTTTCGGAGGCTAAAGAAATCTATCGCGCTATATACATTATCGAAGACAGAACTCACAGTTGGCTACTCAAGATTGCAGAAAGAAGTCGAGGGATACATAAATAAATATGTCCGAGCGATTGAGTTAATCGTGCTCGATGTATATGAATATGTAGCGCACTTATGTCTCTTTCGGATTATACTTTTTCGATTAAAAACCGATAATAATACGACGATGCACTTATAGAAAATTATATTTTCGTTTCCAGAATCCATATTGATAAACACGCGTTCGCGGAATATTTATTCGCTCTCTATCTCCAAACTACTCTCAGAATATTTCCATTTCTCGGAGATGAAGTCCCTCGTCGCGGATTATACATCCGAAAAAAAAAAAAAAAAAACAAGACAACAGATAAGCCGACGTCGCGGTATTGGCGACACTTTCCCCGACGTGTTCGGGGGCAAGCAAACGCGTTATTGAGAAAACAATTAGCGGCCGATTGATCGCGCGCCATCAAACGTCGCGACGTTGGCGCTAATCTTTATAATGGCACCGAGCGAGACTCTCCGACAAACAAGGTAATAAATTCTCTAATTAGCGGCATTTAATATCAATAGGGCCGCCCCGGTCGGGCTTTATCAGTCGCGCGAATTAACAACAATGGCCGCGAGGAGACGCGCGTAATTATTGCGCAGCGAATGTCGTGCGGGAGAAGAGAAGAGGAAAAAGCGAAACTTCGTCCTTCTCTCGCCGTCGTCCTCTTAAAAACGCGCGATATTTCATCCTCTCTTTCCTGGCGTGCGGCACAACACGGGCTTTGACGTTACGCGCCAGGGCCGAGCAGGATGTTGCGTAAGACCCGCGACGAAACGACGCGAGTGACAAACGAGAGACTTCCAGTTGCGCGTTGCAAACGTATCCCTCCGAAAAAACCAACTTCCGAGGATGACGACAATCGGCGTCGCGCCATGCCGAGATTATTACGTCGGTTTCCGGTTTATAACTCGCGGGTTTTTCATCAGAATATGAACACTTATTGGGCCTAAAAAGCTACGTCCTCGACTTTTTGTTGCTCATTGTTGCTAAATGTTTCAAAATAGTTTGACACGTGTCAATCGGCGTCGCGCCATGCCGAGATTATTACGTCGGTTTCCGGTTTATAACTCGCGGGGTTTTCATCAGAATATAAACACTTATTGGGCCTAAAAAGCTATATGTCCTCAACTTTTTGTTGCTCATTGTTGCTAAATGTTTCTTATTTGCCATACACAACGTCCTCGACTTTTGTTGCTCATTGTTGCTAAATGTTTCAAAATAATTTGACACGTGTCAATTGGCGTCACGCCATGCCGAGATTATTATAACTCGCGGGTTTTTCATCAGAATATGAACACTTATTGGAATCCTGAGCCTAAAAAGCTATGTCCTCGACTTGCTCATTGTTGCTAAATGTTTCAAAATTTTTCAAAGTTACATTTGACATCAGTGTCAAAAAACGCCATTGAGATTATTACGTCGGTTTCCGGTTTATAACTCGCGGGTTTTTCATCAGAATATGAACACTTATTGAGCCTAAAAAGCTATGTCCTCGACTTTTTGTTGCTAAATGTTTCAAAATAATTTGACACGTATCAATCGGCGTTGCGCCATGCCGAGATTATTACGTCGGTTTTTTATAACTCGCGGGTTTTTCATCAGAATATGAACACTTATTGGGCCTAAAAAGCTATGTCCTCGACTTTGTTGCTCATTGTTGCTAAATGTTTCAAAATAGTTTGACACGTGTCAATCGGCGTCGCGCCATGCCGAGATTATTACATCCGGTTTATAACTCGCGGGTTTTTCATCAGAATATGAACACTTATTGGGCCTAAAAAGCTATGTCCTCGACTTTTTGTTGCTCATTGTTGCTAAATGTTTCAAAATAGTTTGACACGTGTCAATCGGCGTCGCGCCATGCCAAGATTATTACGTCGGTTTCCGGTTTATAACTCGCGGGTTTTTCATCAGAATATGAACACTTATTGGGCCTAAAAAGCTATGTCGTCGACTTTTTGTTGCTCATTGTTGCTAGATGTTTCAAAATAATTTGACACGTGTCAATCTGCGTCGCGCCATGCCGAGATTATTACGTCGGTTTCCGGTTTATAACTCGCGGGTTTTTCATCAGAATATGAACACTTATTGGACCTAAAAAGCTATGTCTTCGACTTTTTGTTGCTAAATGTTTCAAAATAGTTTGACACGTGTCAACCTGCGATAACATTTTGCGACAACGTCACTGAAAATTGAAGGTCCACAGCGAGGGAACACTTCCTTTTTATGTTTCTTTGCAACTTGTTAACGCGTGTTATTAATCTTGATTTTATCTTTCGCTTCGAATGAACGCGACAAGCGGTAACTTTTGTCGCTGGCAACAGAAACAAACAAGGAACTTTAAGGAACTTTTGACAACTAGCAATTTTGTTAAGAAACATGGAACATCAACAAACGCAGCTAAGAATCGTTTTCGCGCAGTTTGAAACAACGAACCCAAACGTGAAAATGACGTATGATTTGGCACTTGGGGAGAGAAAGAAACGATATGCGTCTTGTAAAAACAAGCGGATCAAGTACGAACGCTTCCGCACAAAACAAGAGCGAATTAATTACGCGGATCGTAGCCGAAATAAGCACGCAACAAGTTTGCATAGTTTAGTGCTTGATATACGGCTCGTGAAATATACTCTCTCACTTTGGTCGACAAAGACGGAAACATAGACGGGAAAATCGGAAAGTGATCGGACGATTCACGCATGAGGTTGACGCACAAACAACAACAACCAACAAACAAACAAACAAACAAATAAACAAACAAACGCACGAGAATCCAGTAGTAGACGGAAGCGTGGAAAGAAAAGGCGCTGCTCACCTGGCGGGGTGATCGCGTGCGGATTGAGATGCGGATGATGATGCGCGCCGCCGAGGATGCCCTTGCCCTGGAGATGATGCGCCGCTGCGGCGGCTGCCGCGGCCGCCGTAGGACCCGGGGAGCTGGTGGGCGGTAAATGAGATTGTAGATTGGGATTGTAGAAACCCGCCGCCGCCAGGGCGGCAGCGCTGAAGTAGCTCGCGGCCGCCACCGCTGAGGATGGGTGCGACAGGTCGCGTTGGCCGCTCGCGGGTAAGGGCGGCGGCGTTTCCGGAGCCGCGGCGGGACTCCCGGGTCCACCGGGTGGCGGTGAAGCGCTGCTCTGGGAGGACGAGCCGCCCAGGATACCGGGCGGATGGGTGCTCGCCGCGGTTAGCAGCGAGGAGACGCTAAAGTCCGTCGGCCTCGGCGCCGCCGGTGCCGGCAGGAGTCCGGTGCCGGCGCCGATGTGGCCGTTCGGATTGCTGGCTGGCGGCGTGCCGCCGGCGATCGCGCTTGCGAAGGGCGAGTGCTGATTGAGAGCCGTCGCTGACGCGGGATACGCCATCCCAGGCCCCCCAGCCTCGGCCCGCGGCCCCGTATTCGCGCCCTCGACCACGTTAGCCTCCAATTCTATGTCGCCAAGCGGTCTGCTACGTCGTTGCTCGACGTCCTTCCTCGAGGAATCGCCGCCGTCGTCGTCGTCCTCGTCCTCGTCTTCCTCCTCCTCCACCACCACCTCCTTTTCCGGCCGTGATCGCTGCTGCAGCGCGGAGGGTTGCGGAGTGCTGGCGCAGTGGGTACCCCTGCACGCCGTGTCTTGTTCGAATCTCATCGAGACGGGCGAGTGTGCCGAGTCGCGCGAGATTCCTCTTCGAGTGACTCAGCCTGCCAGTGATGCTTCGAGATGCTGCTCTCTTGTTTGCTGGTTCTCGCCTCTCGTAGTTGGGCGCCTCTCTCTCTCTCTCTTCTTCTCGCGGACTGTCGATGATCGTTCAACGATCGCGCTCGTTCCTCCTCATATTCGCGCACACACACATACACCCGCGCACGAGTCTCGGAGCAAAGTCGTGGCCCAAACTCAAAATCGCGAGTCGGAACGCCCGCGTTCTTCTTCTTCTTTTTCCGCGCGAATTTCCAGCCGCGGGAAATCGCTGCCGACGAGAAGGAGCGTCGAGAACCGTCCGCTCGACATCTTACGACTCGATCAGCCGGGACGAGCAAAGTATCTTACTTCCACTGGCACTCGCGAACGTCTACGAGGACGCCGCGTGGTAGATTTTCAGGATAAGAGTCGCTCCCATCGTCGAGAGACCCACTATACGCCCACTGATCACTGACCCTTCCTCAGTCACCTCGAGTTCCCTTCGAGTTTCAAACACCCGCCGATCGTCCGACGGAAGGACTGGTCCAAGACTCCGTCGTCACATGCCGGTTGACCGACACACGCGCGCGCAAGTTGACGTCGACGACGATTTCACGGAGAAACGTTTGATCTCGGCTGCGGCCGGTCCGACGACGAGGTTCGGTCGAGGCCGAGCAAGAGCCCGGACGAAAGGTGTTACTTGGGTGGCGCCGCGATGGTCACTGAGCAGCGCTAGGATTGACACCTACTCTGGGGGCTCACCCCCACACCTCCCGCGGAGGTGTTGGTGTGCTAAAGTCCCCGTCCGGATTCAGGGCGGTGGTGTATACGTAGGTATATACGGGTGGTCCACGGCACCGTGTGCGTGCGAGACGCGCGCGTGTATACACGGGGAAGCCGCGTCGTGCCTGCGCCGCGGAACGGACGCGGGAGGCGTGAATGCTGGAGGGCAGCGACGCGAAGACTGAGATCGCGCGGGGGCTCCTCCTCCCTTCCCCTCCGCCCGTGCGCGGCGCGGGAGTGGGGGAACCGGCTTTTCCCCGACTGTCGGCGACAGAGCGGCGAGGGAGGGGGGGAGAAGCGCGCGGAACCTTTCTCCCTCCCGCTTCGCTCGGGTGATAATGAGCGCTCGTAGTCCGGATTGGCGTTCCGGCGCCAATCCGAGCGGCGTTGGACCCGACGCCTTTCTCGACGCTACTCGAACCCAGGGTTGTCTCGCTCGCGCCTTCGCCTTCGCCTCTCGTCCTGCTCTCCTCTCTCCGTCGGACTCTGCCCCTCCGTTTCGCGACGGACGTCGATGCGAACCCACTGCGAACCCACTGCGCTCCCACCACCGCTGGTTCTTCAGGGTGTTAACCGCGAGTACGCCCATTAACACCACCCTGCGTCACTGCCTTCCAACGAGGGCGGGGGTTACGGCGAGAGGGAAGGGGGGCCGCGCGATCGACGTCGCGAGGTGTCGTTAGTGGGGCTCCCTTCGGATCTTCGCCGGCTCTCTCTCCGAACGTTAACGCTCTCGCGTGAAACGCGAGAGAATTTTCGCGTCTGAGTTGCCACGTCGCTCGACACCTTCGCGTTTGACGTTTCGCGAAAAACGTTATCAACTACAACTATACCGATCGCAACGATTCGCAAGCTTTTACATACATGCTCATGGAGGTGGAAATATTTATGTGCGGATGATTCTCACACAAATAACGAAGATTCTTCACCAGTTTGCGCAAGGTTTGCCAACCAAAATTTTCTACGTAAAAGTGGATGGTATTTATATATTTATGTGAATTATGCAGATAATTTGTAATAGTTATTTGCAGTTGAAACACTATAGGAAAATCCTAGTGTTGAAAAAGGAACAAGATGGATATATATGCGAAGATTAATGCAAAGAATTATCTGTACACAGAGATTTTTTCTTAGAATTTACTCTGAAGATCATGGGACAAACATGTATATAGATATTAATATTTTTTATTCTGGCAAATATTAATCAGAGAAAATTCTGCCAACAGTATTATCCCACAATTACCACGATTTTCAAGGTAAATTCCAAGAGAAAATTCTCTCCATGTACCAATACTTGATATAATAAAAATAAGAAGTTCTTGTATGTTTCAACATTGGTAAAAACTATTGTGTAATATTATGTTATAGAATTTTCACTTGATAAGGACCACAATCAAATGGTTGAAACGTCGTGAAAGAATTAAATAAAATTGTTAGTTACGTCGAAATCAAGTTTGCCAAGTTTATTTTCACCACTAGCGTCCAATATTAATTTTGATTGAAAAATAAGAATGTAGAGAAATGTACTTGAAAAAGACTGCATAATTAATATATTACATAGTTTATTTAACAGACGTATACCAAAATATAAATTAATGGATTCATATATTATTATTAATCCTACGTAACGAAGCAGAAAGATTTGTTGCATCACGTGTTTGTTTTTTGAGAAAAATTCTCGCATATCCAATGACTTATTTAATTTTTAATCTGATTAAATAAAGTTCCAATTTCTCTAAATCAATTTCAATACTAAAATAAACCATCTCGATAAACAATAATAAGAATATTAAATCGGCTCTTAATATAAAAACACAATATATACATCTCCTCTATCTTCGGCCCATAGGCCGACTTTCGGACCAATATTTTTCTCGCCTATTTCTTTACAGGGGAAGTTAAAGAAGGAACAAGGAGTATTTTTAAGATCCCAACCGTAGGAAACAAATTCTCAGATTTCTTAATTTTCTTTCTTAAGTTTCGCAATAACATCGCGTTCATCTCGATAAATTTCACAGAAATGTATCTTGGTCAATGATGTTACATAGATTACATCTTACCTTCTTGAAGTTTATCGCGTAATTCCGAAGCCGCAGAGCCGCGAAAATTCTCGTCCGAGCGAACGAGGACGTGCGCAAAATTACATAACTCATTTCTGCGAAGAGAGAGAGAGAGAGAGAGAGAGAGAGAGTCTGGCGAAAAAGTTTTTACACCCGAAAATATAAATCTCTTCCCTATATATGTACCAGAATATTTTTTCCTTTTCGCAACGAATGTACTTTATCATCCGTTGTAATGCAACGCAATTGGCTGCGTCGAGAGTTCAGCGAGTTTTCCGCGAAATGCCGCGAGAGAGTGAGAAGTTTTCGAGAGCCGTGCCAAAATTCGCACGGCACAGCGTCACGAGTTCTCACTCTCTCGTTCTCGCTCGCTCACGTGCTGGCGGTCTCGTGTGTCGAACACGACGAACAGACGGAGGGGAAAAGGCGAGGAGTAGCCACACCCTCCCGTCGTGTCCCTACCGTTGCCGACGATCGCCACCGCCGATGGATCACGTGATCCTAGCGGAGCCGGGTTTGCCCTCTCGCGCTCTCTACGTCGCCGACGTCCACGTAGCTCTCCCTCTCTCTCTCTCTCTTTCATCTCTCGCGCGGGTGCCGCCTCTCACCCTCTCCTCTCCCAGGACAAAATTTCTCTCCCGCTTTTTCTCCGCCGCACGAAACGCGCTCGTCCTTCGCGCCGTGGAGTGTTGCTGAGACGCCCAGAGCATCGCGCAGGGTTGCCAAATCCGAGAGGAGAGAGCTTTTCTACCGGACCGGAATTATATACCCCAGAATCACATTATTCGGGAGCGTCGTAAAGAGCGAGCGTCACGCTGAGACCGTCGATCGGACTTGTTCTTTTGTTGGCCGGGAGCAAAACTCGGTCTCTCTCGCTCTCTCTCTCTCCATACCGGGCTATGATCCGGTTTAATCGTAATTATATGGAAAGAGGAACGAGAGGATTAAACGTCTGGAACAAAGGGGCGGGACATGTTGCTTCATTATTTATTGCTTCTGTGGTGAATTATTGGCAATGTGCACCTTGTGTTGCCGCTATGTGCTTTTTTGTAAACTCAATTTCTCTGATTTACGTCACAGGAGGAAAGTAGCAGCGCTTGAGAGAATTTTCTTCGATTTTGTCTCGATCTTGTTTCAAACTTCAAGTTGCGATATATTGAATTATGAAAAAGAAAGAGTGATACGTTATATGCAACAAAAAGTTCCCGATTAATTTGTAAACACACACCTACCTATATTTCATTTAGCTCGTTTATATTGGAGAGTTTAAGATTTCAATATCATCACATTCATATCCTCTGAAGTAAAAGATTAGACTTTGGTGGTCAACAGTCATTCATATGAAACAATCATCGACACAGCGTGTACATTTGATAGCCTATTTCTCATGCCCTCACCTTATCGCAGCTCCCATTTGTTTCCATTTCACTAAATTGTCGGATACTCGCCGTGGATAATCTATTCTATTTTCCCTGTCTCTCTCTCTCTCACCCTCTCGTTCCTTGACCGACCTGAGAAAAACGTATCGGCGGCGATCGATGCCACTATACGTTAGCTATCCGATAGAGGCAGTCGAACGTAAAGGAAACGAAATAAAGGAAGGTATATAAAGCGAAAGGCGAGAGAAAGAGAATCCGAAAATCCTGCTACGGGTACACACATGTATATATACGTATACCGCGAGAAAGGGAACGAGCTCGGTGTCCGAGACGACGTCGTAGCGAGCGGCTGAGGCAAGAGCAAAGTTTGTCCTCGTCGGCAGGGAGAAGATAGCGGTGCGAGACAGAAGAAAAAGAGACACGCGGAAAGAAGAGAAAAAAAATCCACAGCCACCGAGCGGAAAACGCCGGGGTACGCGGAAGGGGAAATAATCGCGAGATAGATAGAAAGCGACGACGTGGGCGAGAGAAAGAGAGAGGTGGTCATAATCGCGCAGACCGCGTCATAATCCGCGACGAAAAACATTTGACGAGCGCACCGGGCTGGTAAAGGGGCAACTCGTTTGGGCGTAGCTCGCCCTGACGCCGCCTACGTATTCCAATGTTCACCCCTCCGCCGACGCGTTCCCGCTTAGGGGTGGTGGTAGACGGTTCTCGGCGCGAAATGCGCGGAATCGCGCCGCACCGGCGTGGGGAACTCGCCGAGAAGAGGGGGTCCGCGAGACGAGGACGGAGACTCGCGCGGCATTCATCCCGCGACCACGATCAAAGCAGGACGAGAGACGGAACAATCGGATTAACTTGGTGCTCGCGAGCACGCATGTTGCTCCGACACATTTTTCTTCTTTTTTTCGACGTCGGGGCCGAACAAACTCTGGGCATATCGTTTATCTTTATGCTTATATCGCTCAACGCAACATGCATCGATATCAAAACGGTTGAATCTGCGTTAAGGTTCTGGCCTTCAACCAGGAGAGGAGAGGTAGAGAATTAATATCACAACACAGTTGATTTTCTCAATTGATCCAAACAACTGTGTGCAGTTTAATGAGAGTAAAGCATGAAATCTTACAAATATATTTGCAAAATTTGCCACGTCTGATTAAATTTGATATTCTTTGGTTTGGATTTTTACGATTAAATTGTACCAATCTTCTATTATCGCACAGAGAAAATTTTCCCTTCGAATTTACCCTGAAAATCATAGTAATTGTAGGATAATATATGATATTGGAAGAATTTTATAAGAGTTTTCTCTGATTAATATTTACTACAATAAAAATATTCATATCTATCATAATAAGATAGAAAATATAAAATATGTTCGATTTTCAAGGTAAATTCTTGCAAACGATAATTTATAATATTGAATTGTATGTTCGATTGTTGATAAAACAATAGCCGAGAAACAATTAATCGAGACACATCGGAAGAAAAAACAAACCATCGTCTGCATTAAATACATATCTTTTATATATGCGCACATGTTTCATTGTGATATTTTCACGCCAAAGAAATATCTACGATATGAACGATAAAAATATAATGGTTTTATAAAATTGTTCTGCGAAACTAGAATAGAACACAGACTTTTGTCTAGAGCAGTTTGTTGCGCAAACTTGGGAAGTGGTCTCCAATAAATATTTTTCTATTTAAAATAAAATTCTTGACAGTAAAATATAGTTGAGAAAAATT